TTTTAAATAAACTTACTACACTCATTTGGTATATTGATGAATACCATTCTAAGTTTAATGATCGTAGTTTATACTTTCCTGATTTTATTAGAGAGTTAATGCTATATAAAAATAATCAATTTTATAAAAAAGGTTCACATCACAAAAAAGGAGTATTAGAACGAACTAAATTAGAACTTTATATTAATGCTATTAAAGAATCATTAGATCAGCCATGGGCTAGTAGTATTACTTGGAGACCTTTTATAATGCAAGTTCATCAGTTTATTAGTACTATTCAAAAATACATTGAATATCTTGAAAATGTTAATCAAAGTATTACAATAACTAGAAATGCAATGAATCTTGCCCGTAATCCAATAGATAATAGTACTGTTGAATTAAAACTTGAATGTTATTTTAATGAAGTTAAAGAACAATATTATGAATTAGCAACTATAGTAAAAAATTTGAATGATTATGAAGTTATTTCGATTGATGAATATTTACCATTAAATTGTAATCAAAGATATAAATTCATTACCAATTTAGCTTTAGATACTACTATAATGTTATATAGATATTATCATGGAAACTATCTTGGAACCTTAAATTTTATATGGCGAATACCAACTGATCCAAATATAAGATCTGAAAATTTGCAAGCACAAGCTATTATTAGTATTCAAAACAAGTTACCAAAATATTTTACTAGAGCAATGCGTAAAAATATATTTGCAAAGGTATAATTTATAAATTAATTTTATAAATTTATAGTTTAAATATATATTAATTTTTTAATTATTTTAAATAGTATTCTTTATTAAGTAAAATTACACCCCATGTTTTATCATTATTGCAACATGATTTAACAGGAGATATTAGTGCACTAGAAAATTCTCAATCTAGAGAATTAGATGAACGTCTTAGATTAATGCTTGAAATCGGAGATCCAGATATTTTAGTAGATTTAAGAATCAATAATGGCTTTAAAGATACTAAATTTGATATTTTTTGGAATAAACTAAAATTATATTTTGAAGAGGTAATATATATTTAAAAATTATTATTAATTACTAAAATAAAATTAATTAAAATAAAATTAAAAATTTTAGTTATTTTAAAGTTAATTTTATATTATTGCACTTTTCAAATTACTGTAACTAGCAAATTTTATACATTATATCAAGAATTAGAAATCTAAAAAAAATGCTAATATATAATTGACTAAAAATTATTTTTAACCAATTACAAATTTGCATTTTTTTAGATTTTTAATTTCTGGTATAATATATAAAAATTACTAATTACAGTAATTTGAAAAATGCTATAAATAAAAGCTAAAAAATATTAACAAAATATTATATTTTTTAGTAACTTGTCTATTTTAATCTAATTTTACTTTAATTTATTATATTAAATTTAATAAAAATTAGTTTACTAAATTTATTTTACTATAT